AATGGCACAGGTTTGTAATTTTATTGTTAAGGATTGCACCAGTTCCGGCCTCTGTTCTTTTCTAACATGGTTCCTTCTTTAGGATTGCAGAGTTCTCAGGCCCACATCGTACACAGGAAGGAGGTATCATTTCAAGGAGTTTTCTCAATTTCTGGACATGTGCAAGTTTTTTGAAAAGATAAACAAATCTGGCTTACTAAAACCTCAGAACTGCCGCTAGTGTATCCACATCTGTTGAAAAGCAGAGGATGAAGGGTTCTCCTGCACACCGCCATTGGAGTGCAGGGTGGGGCATCCATTAGAACAATCATAAACAGGAAGAAGAATCCAGGAAGCATTTCCTCTCACTGGGAGATGGAAGTCTGATTTCTGTTGTAAGATTCTATCACAAACATACAAAGAAAGGATGTTTTCCTTCCCGCACAGACGTTTTAACAATACAGACAAGGTAGAACTTAAGGCTCTTAGAGAGTAACATAGTTTTAAAGCCAACATTTGGCTCTTAAAATAAAAGCAAAAAAGTACATTGTGAATGGTCTGGGATTTTGTTTTTGGAGACTGTACCACTTCAATCGTAATTTAAATTCTCATGGGACACAAATGTCTTGTATGTAGAGAAGTAATCATTACAATTATAACTCTCTGAGGGGCAATGTTTTAATATATTTTTAAACAGGATGGGGGAGCTACCTCTTTAAAATGCTATCAGCAGTTTCTACTCCAGTGGTCCAGTCTGAGTCGTATACCCTTGTGAAATCTTAATAATGTAAAACTTAGCTCAGTTTACATGGTCTCTTTCCAAGTTCTATGTGAGAAACTTTCCCAGGCCTGACTCAATCTCTCCAGGAATGGAAAAGTGAACGGAGGTGAGAAATGGAGTTCCTCTGCTCAGCACTGGGAGACTTTCTGGCAGTGAACAGGGAAAATCTGCCACCTCAGCTGATTTTCATTAAATAGGTTCCCTCACAAACTCTGGCCACATCGACTTCTACTATGCAGCCTCGAGAGGTGCCCCAGGGCAATGTGGTCTCTGGGTGGAAAAACATGCTCCCCTCCACATACCTCCAATTCTCCATACTCCTGCTGATCATTTCAAACTGGCAAGCACCTTACCCTTTTCAGACCAGGAACTGCTTAGACAGTGTTACAGGATAGAGCTCAATGTAAGTCAGGTTTGCTAGACAAGTTAAAAAGCTTTTTTCCCCTTGGTCCACTTTCATGTCAAAATAATAGTGTGGAACCAATGCCACAATAAAATGGTTGAGATGATAACACATTTTACAGAAGGGTGGGCAATCTGCAGCTCTCAGCCTAATGTCTGAAGCCCTCTTCGCAACCAGTCAGTTCAGGCCTCTGCAGAAAACAGTATCTTCTTCCTCCCCGCACCCCACCACAAGCCCTCTGGGTAGAAACAGAGAAGAATGGGAGGGTGGCTGAGTGTCCTATGAGTCACAAGATCTTAGGAGACCCCAACATGGAGTTGGCAAAACAATTGCAATGCCTTATGGCACTTTTAAGACTAACATATTATTTCAATTTCCAAAGAAGTAGTCGTGTTAGTCTGTCTCAGCATGGTGTGAAAACAAAAGGAAAGGTATATACATTTCAAATATGCAATCAATTTAGACTTAACCATTTCATTTGTGTCATGGACCAAAGACCACTTCATTGTGAGAATCTGTGGATTATAATACACTTCTCAAGGGGATGGAGAAAGGCGTATCCACTCCCATTTTACAACTTTTCAGAGATGTGAAACAGTTCTGGTGAAGTACTCCAGGAAGCTCCGCTACAAGATGCAAGCCAAAGATGCACCCAGGTTTTAACAACTTGTGTTGAGGAGCAGATTATGTTTTATTTACTTGCAGCATTTCTGTCCCTTTCCCCATGCTATTGCCTCATCACCATCACCTTCCTCACATTCTACAGGATTCTAAACAGAATTTACTGTGATGTGAGGGGCAGAACTCATGAGTAGTTGCCCCCTTAAAAAGTTCTATAATATAGAGGATACTTGTCAAATATGTATAACTATCACCTTGTAAACAGCCCCAAACAAGATAGACAGACATTAGTCTGTTTGCATCACTAGCTGCTAAATAACCCTTTGACTGCTGTGTAGGTGATTTAATGGCTATTCAAAACCTTGCCCACACAGCACTGTTTGCATCACTAGCTGCTAAACAACCCTTTGATTGCTGTGTAGGTGATTTGATGGCTATTCAAAACCTTGCCCACACAGCAGCTGGACCTGTCTTTGTTACCTAGAAGCTATTTAGAGCATCCTTCCACCCCCCACCTGTTCAAGGTTTCTTAAAGATTTAGTGAGGAGGCTGTGAGAGTTTCCAGCGGAGTAGAATAATATTGTAAGTTGTGCTAATTCACAAGCAGGTAAGAGGTTTGCACCAAGGAACCCTAGATGTTGTGCCCTCTACATATCTGTGTTTGATGATCAGCTTTTGATCAATATCAAGTGGAACCATACGTTTGACAGAACAAACACCACCCACTGTGGCTGCTCAGAGATTCTCCCAATTTCCTGAGCAAACAGCCTATATATTTTGTTAAAGCATTACATATTTAGCCACTTTCAAGCCTCTCTTTGAAGTCATAAAATAAAACCAGTATTCTGAAGATGCTGAATTCTACACCTAGTAGGAAATTCACTGTAGACACATAGCTTGGCTGTTTTTGCAAGTGCTTTGGAAACTGAGTAGGAATCTAAAATCTGCAATCGTCTACTCAAGTTTGTTAAATTACTTTGACTTGTACTGGTAGAATAAAACCCCTTCCAACATGGTAATCTACACTTCTCACTACACCCACTGTAGTGAGAAGCTATGTATCTTCACATAGCTTGATCCTTTTAAAAAATACAAATAATACACATTAAAATATATGATAAACAAAACTAAAAATAAAGAAAAAATACATAGTGTTCCCCACCCCCTGGGACCATTTGAAAGTAACCACTTACACCATCCACCTTACATGGAACCCCTTCCAAAATGGTAGGGTGCCAATGAATAATCGTAGTTTGATTACTACGAATCGCGTTAAGTACACTCTCCATGCTAACTTATAAAAATTATCTTGAGTTCTTGATTTCTGACCACCCATTCTACCAGAACAAACTGATAATCCACAGAAGAGATTTATAAACACTCAACCCCTTCCAAAATGGTAGGGTGCCAATAAATAATCATAGTTTATTTGATTACTACGACTCGCATTAAGTACACTCTCCATGCTAACTTACAAAAATTATCTTGAGTTCTTGATTTCTGACCACCCATTCTACCAGAACAAACTGATAATCCACAGAAGAGATTTATAAACACTGCACCGTGATTTAAAGTTGTTTTTTATGGGGTTGGGCAGTCGGATCCAAATGAATCTCCATTACTTGAAACATAACTATTGTTTTAAAACTTTGATGGAACACATTTTGCAATTAGGTGTGTAGAAGAAAATGAAGGCAGCATAGGCTGATCTGAGTGTACCAGCCCCAGGAATTACCCAGAGAAAAGACTGGAATACCGAGGGGGCTGCCTGTCTGCCTAACACAGATGTTGTTCCTACCCACAGAAACAGCTGTATAAATAGACCACCAGGGCAAGGACCAGGTTACAGGTGTGCTCCTCAAAACTGCCTGTGCAGATTTCTCTCTCACTGCCTACATAAGTATCATAAACCTATAATAAATGTACAAGTGCCTCTGCAAGAAAAATGCCCATTTAGTGAGAACAGTTGGTGTTCCAAATTCAGAAAAGAAACAGAAAGCACTGCTAGAAGTATTCCCTCGTTATCACATTTTGCTTTGGGAATGGGAACAGCAAGGAGAGGTAGAATTCAAGTTGGAGGAACCAGTCTTGCCGAGGTCTTGTAGCACTGCCAGAAGTATTCCCTCCTTATCACATTTTGCTTTGGGAATGGGCACAGCAAGCCTAACGGAGAGGTAGAATTCAAGGTGGAGGAACCAGTCTTGCCGAGGTCTTGTCTTGTTCAGGCAGAGCAAAAAGTGAGGAGAGAATGTCGTCCCCTTTCCTTTTTATGGCCAGTAAATAAACAAACACAAAGACAGACAGACATTTCCCCTTCCCTTTGATTTCACTGGCTCACAAGTTTGCAGAATGGGAGGGTTTTGAGTCTTGTGGATCAACAATCTCTCCTAACGTATCTCCTCTCTGACCTTGGAGTTCCAGCACTACAAATGGATCCTTCCCTTTGTAGAGAATCTTAGAATTGTCCCCTAAGGGAGATCTTAGAATTGTCCCCTCAGGCTACTATTTTGCTCTTAAGGATGGAAGCAGGTTTGTACAGTACATCTTTCTATACTGCCTGCTCTATGTTAAGTTTCTTTTCCTTTTAATCAATTCTTCCTCTGACGAGTATAGTTTATGTATCAATCTCAGGCATGTACTTTGGATTAGATCTAATTAGATTTGGAAGAACTGTCCTGTACCTTCAGACCTTTTTTTGGAAGCAGATACAATTAGACAGCAACATAAAAATAAGGATATCCATTAATTGCCAAAGGCCTCTCATACAGCCGTTGAGCTGCTATCCATGTACAGTACTGTATAGGAACTAACCAATCTGAAGAATTATCACTGGGTGAACTTGGTGAACTTCCTTTTGGAGATGGACTTTGAATCTTTTGTAGATCTATTTTCAAATAGGCACCAAGAAACACAGGTAGAAAAAGCACAGGACAGTCCAACTTGGACAGCATCACTCAGAACAACGGTAAGAGCTCTTATTACTGAATAATCAGTTATTACTCAGGGTTCATTTTCATTTTAAGCATGGCTAATGCATTCAGTTACGCAGGCTTCCACCTGTATTACACAATCTTAGAATATTAGTGAGACAAAAATGTGATTTTTTTTTCTGAATGGGGGGACCAGTACCAAACTGTTTTCTTGTCATCCTCATAAATTAAAAATTTGGAACACATTTAGACTGAAGAATGTTATGAACTAGCACAACTGGGCAAGTAATAGGAAAGGAATTAGTATATTATTTTAATAAAATGCACAAACATAATACATGGTCAATCCCACACTTGGGCAAGCAAGTAGTACCAATCAGCAAGAGAAAGAGTTTTACATAGGTCTGGGCCACCTGTCTCATTTTTCTTGACACAGAAGAGATTGTTCCTCTTCACTTTACATAATGGAAGAGCTTTTCATGGGGGGCTGTTCAGGAACTCCCCAAAAAGCATTCCAGCTGCTGATGCACAGCTGTTTAGTGTGGATATGCACGCTGTTCTCCGCCTAGTTTATCTTTTCAGACATGCTGATTTTGCACACACTTCACTTTATAAGCTCGAGTCCTACCTTCAAGTACTTAAACTACATTGGGAGTATGAATGGACAAAACCAACACTGCCTGTAAAGGCAGAGGGAGAATCACATATTGCCTTTTGATCAGGCTGGTATGCACTTGGTTAGGAAGCTGCCCTTCTAAGATGCTTAGCATAGTGCAAATGAAACCACACAACTGATCTGCCAGACGCCAAAGATGTCAACATGCCACACTGTTCCAAACCCAAACTGCTCCTCTGAGGGGGCTTCTGGCATGACTGAGCAGACAGCATGTCAAACCATCTGCCACCTCAAAAGCAATTTGCTGTTAGGTCCTGAAAAACCTGACAGATTTTTGGTAGGGCTAGGAGAGCTCTTTCAAAAGACACAAAGAACGTTGAATCCAGTCTCAAGGAAAGAAAAACAAACAAACCAAAGTCAGCTCCACGGCTGGGGGCCCCACACTGGCCAATGTGCAGCACCACAGGTTGAATGGCCGGGATGCAGCCCTGCATAGTGTCTACAATGGCAGTGGCTCTGTCTCAGTTAGCTGCGGTCTCCTCTGTGGTGCTTGGAACTGGCTTCTTCAAGAAGTACATCACAGCTTGCACCACTTTGTCAGGGGAGATGTTGTAGACGGGATGCGTAGGCTGCTGTTTGGGAGAAAGTATAACACAGTGGGAATCAAAGCCGGGACTCTGTCTGCCCTCCCCAGTTCTGTAGCAAAAGAAGCCAAACCTTGAGAAGTTCTGAAAACCAATGCGTTCTATATGCACATTCCACTTCTGCTAGATATGATGTGCACAGATTTCACACACCCCCTGCAAAATTCCTGACCACTAGAAGTTTTATTTATTAGTTATATCCCAGTGAACTCAAAACGGTGCATATGGCTCTCCTCCTCATTTTAACCTCAAAAACCTCAATGGGGACTAAAAAGTGCTGAAAGTCACCATGGGCTTATTCAGCTGGGCTCTTGGCTTTGATTGTGCCCGGCTTTATCCATGGATTTTCAAGCTCAGCTTCTTGTCCTTGAGCAACTGCCAGAACTCCAGTCTCAGGGCTGGATTCCTTTCCTGCTGTGTTATAACACCTGTTCATCTGAACAGGTAAGATAGGCAAGCAAACACCAAACAAGACTACAGTACAAGGAACAGAAAACCACACCAACTTTCTTCCTGTCTTGCTCCCTCTGGTGGACAGGAAGGATTCTTCCTCCTTGGCCTCTTAGTGTCCACCAACTTTTGGGGTCAGGAGAACAGACAAGAGTCATCTTCCAAAGGCCCTCCAAAACATGGAGTTAGCCTTGCAAAAGGTTTTCTGCGCACTTTTGTGGAAGAAAAGTATTAACTGCAGGGTAATGCTGGAACAACTTCCCAAGAGAATGGTTCCCTCTTATCAACAGGACTCTATACAGGTGGAACAACTCCATGTGAGATGAGTGAGGAATATATGAAGGAGAATTATATTCAGGGTTATATTCATAAGGGAAGAGCCTATATAGCATGGATATCTGTGGGTTGCCAAAGAGGGTATAGGGTCATGGCTTGCTGAAGGCAGAGAGAAATCTCTTAAGCTGAGCAGGAACGGCTGCCTCAGCTTAAGAGCTCCCCACATAGCCATCTTTCCCTGTGGGTTGCCAAAGAGGGTGTAGGGTCATGGCTTGCTGAAAGCGGAGAGAAATCATACCTGTTCTACACGCTGCCTCGGCTTAAGAGCTCCCCACATAGCCATCTTTCTCTTTAGTACAGGGACAGCAAGCAAGTGGCCCTCCAGAGGTTGATGCACTGCAATTCCCTTGATCCTTCCCCAGTGATTAAGTCAGCTAGAGCTGGTAAAATGTGCAGTCTAAGAGCAGTCAGAGGGCCCCAAGTTCCCTAGTCCTGCTATCTACCCATTATTTACCCAAATTTCCCCAAACTAGAACAGACCCCTTGCACTGATCTGTTGCAACTACCATGAACAAAGGCTTCCCTCTTCCCACTGCTACCTTCCTGCTTACTATTTCCTAGATTGCTATGAAATGAAGCATACATTACAACTGCATGGATTTCTCATGAGTCAAACCAACAAGGTAGATTTCTTTGCCCCGAGAGGCAAGGTTGCCAACCACCCGATGAAAACCTCCTTGTTTAAGCAGATTTTATGAAATGGGAAAATTATCTTCCACATTCGTCTGTTTCTGTTATGGACTTTGGCATTTTATCACTTTTTAGTGCTTGGTTTTAATTGTCATTAGCCATCTTGAGTGTGTAAGCTCTAAAAGGCAGTGTGCTAATGCTGGTATCGGTTCATTACATTTTTTGAAAACTACATTAATTGCAAAGTTTATTCTTATTTAATGTGAATAGCATAGTTTCCATTTTGTTTCTTAAAAGGAAAATATTGATATTGTGTGGCATTTTCTCACAGCCAATTTGGGGATATACGTATGCCAAATTTCTCACAGCCACTTTGGGGATATATGCCAAATTCCTAGTATGCTTTATATTAATGAAATGACCTGAACGTTAACCAATCAAAGCAAAAGCAAAGCATGCTGTTTATATACCGTCCCATAACACAAGTCAATTATGCTGGCTACACATTGCCCCCACCCCCAGCGAACTGGGTACACATTTTACCAACTTCGGAAGGATGGAAGGCTGACTCAACCTTGAGCCGGCGACCTGGGATTGAATCCCAGGGTCACAGAGCACAGTTTTGGCTGCAGCGCAGCAGTTTAACCACTGCACCACGAGGCTCTAACCAACCAATGAGATCTGCGTAAATCTGACATGCCCTGATCATTTATTTATTTGATTTTTCTCCTGCCCGTCTAGACCAAGGGTCTACTCTATTAAGAGGGCTATGACAATGCAACAGAGGCAACAATTTTCATGACTCTCACTCTCTGAGGACAAGCACTGCCCGCCTTCCTCAGCAGAAGGGGCAGCTCTCTCTGTGGGCTACCACCATGATTATGGTGGTAGCCCGAGTAGACATTGTCTAGAGGGGCGGGGTAAAAATCGAATAAATAAATAAATAAATTATGGGAGGGAAGAGAGGCGACTGTTGCCCCAGGAAAGCCTTCAGTGTCCCCATTTTACTTCCTTTGCCTTAGCACCAGCAGGACTGCATCAAGGCTGCCTGTTGCTGGTGCAGAGATCAAGTGAGCAAGCGCCACTGTGGTTACAAGATAAGAAGGCAGCTGAAGAGCATCCTCAAGAGCACCAGTTTTCTCTGTTCAAAGCATGTGTTCACAATTCACATGGAGGCAGGAGGAAGAGGAAAGATATTTAAAGTGAGATGAGTGTGGAGAGTCACGGTCAGTCCAAAAGCCGGACTTGCAGTGACGGAGGCACATCATCTCTGTCATATGCATACGTAGACCCAGACCTCTAGCTCCACCGGAGCACAACTTACCAGACGATTCTCTGGCACTCCTAGCACAACTTCATGAAGGAGGTCTCCACTGCCAAAGTGCTGTGCTACCGACAGCCCACTCAGGCAATAGCAGGTGTGATAAAAATCCCGTGACCTGAAGGCAGAAGTGCATACAATGGTGAGGCTAGCCAGGAACCAGGTGTGTGTGTGTGTGTGTAGACACACACATCCCTGCATCCGCACAAGTTTATAATTCTCTTGGGAGCAACTTTTTTTTTTTAAAGACATGGATGGAACTGATTGAAAATTAAGAAACTGGAAGGAGTTTAACCAGAACTTTTTATCTGTGCACTGCTGAGAACCAGAGTGGCTTGCGTAGCTTCTCTCCATCCTACTTCTCACCCAAAACAAGACATGATTCCAAGCAAGTGGAAAAAGATCTGGAAGGCTTAGCACTAAAATTCAGCATTCCAAGCCTCTCAGATTAACAAAGTATATTCCATGCCCTCATAGTTGCAAAGGTGTTTATTCAAAATGGTTTATTATTTTCATATCCTGCCTTTCTTTTATAGTGAACTGCAAGATAGGCAGAAGGCACCCATAAAGTGGTTCCTGGTGAAATCTTAGATGCACGAGTTCTCAGTGGGGCTGCCAGGGGAGGGGTTTCATCTCCTGCAAACCTACCTATCCCTCCCTACTGCAAAGAGAAGAAATACGGTGGCAAAAATAGTGTCTATGCAGGTAGCAGAATTAAGCTTCTCTTGGCGTGAACGTTGGGTGATTCAGAGGTGCAAAACGGACCTGTTTCACTGCACAGCACCCACATCTGGATTCTGGCACCAGCTTCCCAACTCTTACAGTTCATCACAACCTTACCACCTCATAACACCTGCACTTTAAGATTTATAAGTGTAATCCCTCTCTGCTACATTCTTGCTGTCCAGGTAGAATCACTGAACAAAGCTTTCTAATCAGAAATAAAAACAAAGACTTCCTATGAAGAATTCTGTGCCGTTAGAACAGTGGTCCCCAACCTTTTCCCAACCGTGGAATGGTTGGGGGGGGTGGCACTTGCGGGGGGGGGCAGGAGATCTGTATCCATGGACTGGTCCTGCCTAGGCCACAGACCAGTGCTGGGTAGTGGACTGGGGGGTTGGGGACCCCTGTGTTAGAAGATACTCACTTGCCCGGTTTGTCCAAGAGGCCCCCTGCTGGACACTGGCAGCACAGCAGGATGTACTCTTGAAGTGCTTGCTGGTCGAACATCCAGTGTGTCATACTGAGAGCAGGGTCACCTGAAGGAAGGGGGCCCATGCAAAATGTTTAACAATTCCAACAGGAAGGCAAAGCATAGATATGCCAGTGTGAACATACAAAAGGGAAGACACCTCCTACATCAGCTTCACTGCTGGAATGCCTCCTTCCAACTCTTTCTTGCCTCTTCCCTCTTGGCAAGGGGGAGATTGCTGCCACCCACCTACTGCTTTTGTCTCCATAGCAGCCTTGCCTCTTCTTGCTCCTAGGCAGGGGACCCCTTTGGGCCAGTGAGAAAAGGAAAGGCTGCTGCAAGGACAGGGAGAAAGCAGCAAGCAGCAGTTGGTGGAGAGGAGGTGTCCGAAAGAAGCGTCTCATCACCACATGTCTGTTGAGCTGGTCTGAATCGCACAGCAAAAGAAGCCTCTATGCCCCAAGATTTAACGAACATCTTCCGCTAAGTCATCTCATAGATCAAATTACACTTCTCCAAAATGGGGTACAGTTCCACCTCTGAGGCCTGACTGTAAAAGATTATTGGCCATGTGCTCTAGGAGTTGCACTAGGTTTAAGGCTAAACTACAGGAAAGGATGAAAATGGGTAAGGAAAAGGCAGTGGGGGAAGCCCGAGGGACAGAGTTTGTGCTGTCAAAGCGAATACGAGAACCCTGACCATACAAAGACATTCTCCCAGCAGGGCTATCTCTTCCATCTGCCTCAGACGACACAGCATGAGATGCCACAAATAGCCCCATCCGTAACAGATGCCTTGAGCACCGTTGAGTGGTGTGTCTTGAGAGGTTGCCTCTGCTGCTATGGCCCAGGTGCTCTCCCAGCGCACACCTCCCACAACGCCCAATCACCGAGGAAACCAATCAGGCAGGTAGTGGGGGGCTGGCCAGCTAAGTGGAAAAACAACAAGGACTTTGCGTGCTTCCTCTGAAAGGAACCAGAAGGGGCAATAATCCAGGGGAGGAGCGAGGAAGGGAAGCTGCCTCAGGCAGCAGGGCGGCTAAAGTCACTGGTACCTTCTAATTGTTCTGTTAGTTTGAAGCCTCTGACAGGCTAATTTCATTGGGTGCTCTCTGGTTCTGCAATACATTCCGAAGGGGCAATACTCATTCATTTTCACAATAACAGAGATTATGAAAAGCCCTGCGTGATGCCAAGCTCCTGCACATTTATCATCTTTGGGAAAGAACTGGCTGCCGTCCTAAGGAAGCAGAAAGGAGCTTGTGACGTTCAGACTCACCTTTGGCATGCAATGCTCGATGCAGAAGAGGCAGCAGACCAGCCTGCCAGAAGGAGTAGCAGCCATCGACCAGCTTGTTACAACGTCCCTGAAACCCACCTTCAAAACGCATCTGGCGGCTCGTAACCCAGTGCTGGCAAGGAGAGAAAGCCATCACTGTTACGGCTCAACACAGTCATAGCAACTGCTACAAAAGCTGAGGGAAGGGGAAGCACAAAGCCTGCTGCACCCTACACTACTACAGGCAGTGGATGCACCTTAGAAAGTTGCAAGGTAAATGTGTCATTGAGTATTTGGGAATACCGTAGTACATCTCTCTCCTTCACATTTAAGGTGTTCATTGTAACCTGTTATAGTGTAATCACGCTGCCAATTAAACTGTGAAGAGGTAATGATTCTAGGGCAGGGGTCAGGGAACTTTTTTACCCCCCCCCCAAATGTATTTACATTGACATTGACGCCCCTTGGCTCTTGCCGTCCACGGCCGACCCCTGCCCCTCCTGCACTCGCCAAGCCACCGTCCATGCAGCCAGTCTGGAACTGCCACACCGCTGAGAAAGCGCATCCTTGGAGAGGGGAGATGGGTGCCGCAGGGCCGGCAGGTCCAGTGGCCATGAGCTCAGGGGAGGCGGGGTGGGAAGGGGGCCTCCTTGCCAGTGCACCAGGCAAGTGGGCGCAGGCAGGCAGGAGAGCCCCCGCCAGGGCTCCGCCGGGCAAAGAGTCCAGCTGGCCTGGTCCACTGCCCTCCCCCCCACTTTGGAGGTGAGGAGGACAGGCAGGGGCCCTGTGCAGTTCCTCACCAGGGCTCGCTCTCCCCGCGACAGAATGCCCGCCTACACACAGCATCGTCGGAAATAAAATGCCTGGGGATAAAATGCCTGCAGCGACCATCCCCATTACCCCCAGGATTTTCATTTTTACCCCATTTGGGGTAATTTACCCCTGTTCCCTGACCACTGTTCTAGGGAAAGTAAAAATAAGGCAGTCAGACAGCCAATATATATCAAGTGAATTAAAATTAGGTTGATGAATACCAAAAATCTGTACAAAAGCTGAATTTGAGAAGCTGATAGACTGGAAGAACAGCCTGCTAAGAAGGGTTCTTCAAAAAAGTTAAGAGTAAAGGGATGCCCAGGAAGTTGCAAAAATAAGGTGTCTTTTTTTTAAAAAAAATGTCATTTTAGAAGAGGTAGCCGTGTGAACTCTGTGCTAACATGTCAGGCCAAAACAAACGAAAAATAAAAAGTAAAGAAGACAATAAATGCTGTGGCATCTTCAAGACTAGCTGCTATATTTTAATGGGAACTTTCATGGACCAAGTCCACTTGTTTTTGATTTTTCTTTTGTTTTGACCTGATACTCTATTTTTTTAAAAGATAAATACAGGTGTGTGTTTTTTGTGTGTGTGTTGTTTTGTTTTTGTTTTCTGCTTATCCTCTGCAAGCTCTGTTAAGCCATAATATTTTAAATATTTTTACAATACAATGCAATATTTTAAATCAATATTTTAAATCAGTAATGGGCTGGATGAAGTTCTAAATTTGTGAAAAATGAAGATAAATAGGTTGTATATATTTTTCCATGAATCAAGAACAAGAACATGATTACCGTATCTGCCGGTGTATAAGATGACTTTTTTGGCCCAAAAATGCCTCCAAGTGGGGGGGTCGTCTTATACGCCAGGTGCACTTCAGTTGGGCCAGGAAGGAGCTGCCGCCATTGAGTGAGTGACGTGGGGCCACGCCGGCCAGGGAGGAAGGCAGGTGGGCAGACAGGCGATCAGTCCGGACAGAGGGAGGGAAGCAGAGCCGGCCATGCCTGAATGGCCAGAGGCTGCCGCCGGGCTGCCCACCTCCACTGCCACTGCCCGCCCAGCCGCTTCCCCTCCTCCTCGCCGGCCATGAACTTCCAGGGCGGGCCTGGGCAGAGCGCCGGGCAGCCGCCACCGGCACCACAGCAGAGCGGTCCACTCTATATTTTGAGTGTAAATGTTGGGGGTCATCTTATGTGCCCAGTCGTCTTGTACGCCAGGAAATACGGTAAGTATATGTTGCATAAATGCAGAGAGAGAGATTTTAAGTAGCACTAAGCTTTGGGTAATAAGGAAGGAAAAACTAAAAATGAAAGCAAGTACTGCTTTTTAAAGTGGATGTAAAGAAGGTAAACACAAATAAGAGAAGAGCTGAGAATTTCCTTCCTCCTTAAAAGAAATTTAACGGGCTCCTAAGGAACAAAAACATTTTAGTGTGCTGATGATACAATGCCTCTTTCTGAAATGTAGAAATACAGAGACAACAACACATAGAGAAGGCAAGCAAAGGTGACCAACGGTTACTTACCAACAAACTTTTCAAATTTAAGGTGTGTTCGCTTTTCAGAATAACCAGTGCTGCCAGTCCACAGAAGGTGTATCCTCCATGAGCCTCCATGCCAGGGACACCACCAATTCCACCCTCCCAGTTCTGACATCTAATTCAAAACAAAACAAACCATATTAACAGGATATGTATTCTTGCCCCCAAGGTAACGGTATGAGAAACATCTTGTTCTTCTAACAAGTTCTTAGTGCTGACATATTACCACCATCCACGCTGGCAATACAACGAGCACCAGGTTTCTAAGACAAAGATGTCCTTACCTTGCTATCCACTCTGCTGTCCTTTCAAAAAGCGTTGGTGTAACAATGTTGGTCAGTGAAGCCACCGATGCAGCACAATAGGCACTCCTGAGATTTAAATAAAAACCTATTCAGAATCCATAGATGACTGAAGAACACGTGATTTACTGCTATTGAAACGTGAGGAACCCAATAATATTAAACTGTACTCTCTGTAACACAGACATGGCTGTAGATAAGTTACATGGACAAATACTTTGAAGCTGAGTTCTTGCACACTCATAATTACAAAGAAATACTGGTAGAGGTTATTAAAATTGTTGGTTAAGGTAGTATTTCCACAATATTATTTCATGTTTTTGGGCATCCAGAGAAGATCTGGGCAGTGGGAAGGCCCAAAAATAATATTGATCCTTGAATGTGAGCCAGAGCCAAATTTTTTGGTTTTGTCACAGACGTCCAGATGGCTAGGGTGAGAAGCCCTTGCTTTTTTCAACAGATGGGTTTTCTCTTGCCAACAAAACTCTGACCATGTGTGTCATACTTCTCCCATACAAACATCTAATTTCTCCAAATTTCCTGCCTGCTTGAGAAGGGAGCTGGGAATATTCAACTTTAGTTATTCAGCAGTCAGAAGCACATTATGACTTTCTAGCACACTAGAAGCCAGAAGCTGCTGTATGAATCTTGCAACAATCAAGAGCTACTGTATATTGCCTTAAGTGAGAGAAACACCTGGTTATTCCCAGCATACCTGACATCCACTTCTCCTCCTATGTGCATGATGAAGGAGCCATCAGGTTGCTTCAGGGAATACAAATACTCCAGAAGCTTCTCCCTGAAAACCAAGATCAAGAACTTCACAGTGAAAATTTATCCTTATTAGGGGAAACGAAAGATCCAACCAAACAAAAGACACCAGAACAAAACAAAAAACAAAACAAACAAACAAAAAAGAATAGAAGAGGTTTCAGGATCTTGTAGTCCAAGAATGTGCAGATGTCATACTTATTGGCTGAAATCCTGTTGCACAGCTTTATAAGGATGATGACATCATCAGATGCAACTGTTTTTTGAAAATTAAAATTTTATGATTCTCCTCTCTTATTTCAGAAAATGTTTGATTTAGGAAAAAATTAAAACTGCTGATGATGTTATGAAACTCACATGGAATAAAGTTGCACAACAGGATTCTAGCTGCTGAATCTACTTTTTGTACCAGTGCCTACCATCCCAAACAAGGTGCAAAAGACAAGGACAAGGTGTCTCTGGATGTATTTTCAGATTACAAATATGTTTTCAGGCCATATCTCATAACTCTCAGCTTTTTCCCACAACTAACTTAGAACTGCTTACCACTAAGCTTTCTTCATTTCAGAAGCCCAACTTAAGCATGAAAAACCACTTTATTATTGCTATTGTTATACAACTGGGAGTTGGAAGCCTTCAGAGGTATAGCAAATTAGCCAGACATCTTCCAAGGAATCCCAATCTGCCTTCTGCCCATCTCAGCCTACGTCAAAAGCATTTTCAGCATCAAAGGTTTATAAATCTCTCAAAATACAACAAGATAATCCAGGAAAACGTCAATCTCTTCTTCGGTCCTTATTTCAGCCTATAGGAACACAGGAAGCAATTTTAGTCTGAGTCTGTCCATGGCTAAAATCCTGTTAATTTACACTGGCATAGGGGAAATGATGTCACCACAGGGGCTGATTGTCATTCATTACAGTCCCTCCTGTGATGACTTATGCAATTCCTCGTACACAAGTTGGGTGGCTTTGCACACAAGTAGGGATGGTTTTTGTTAACTAAAAACTTCCTCCTGACATTCCATAGCTTCCTAACAATGGAAGGAATTACAGGGGAACCATGGGAGCGTCAGGACAGAACTAGGGGGTGTTTAATTTTCAAAACACCTGTCCCTTCTAATGACATTATCAGACTTTTGCAGGTGTAGCTACACCAACAGGATTGCAACCAGCATGTTAGTAACTAGCATTGCTTGTAATGTAACGTGCTACTTTTGAGTCACGAGCAATGAAACAAATTACTTTCCGAACACTGTTACGAGAAAAGACTACTTTTAATAAAATCCCATTTCCGGTTTTACCTGTTGATCACACTGTACGCCTCTTCAGTGCCAATAATGCAAAGAGCATTGACCGCTGCATAAGTGGGAGCAAGATGTGGGTGCTGGCCTGGGCCCCCTCCAAATCCTCCACTGGGGCTCTGACAATGGCTCAGGAACTGGCATACACTGGTTACAAAGGAAAGGTGAACACAAGGTTAGTTTTAAACAACCCGCAAGCATCAACTCTTGGTTTCGTTTCAGTATTGTTTCTGCTCTTTCCATCACCCCAAACATGCATACAGATTTTCACAGCCGAGAGCCATTCTTTTAGAGCCTCTGGAAGAGCCAAAAAGAGCAAACTGACTGAAAACACTGTAGGTGGGAAAACTTTTGCAGATCAGCAGTCATAGGATTTAACTCCTTAGCATGCTAAGAACTGATGTTTGAGTTTCCTTAAGATCCACTTTGTTCCTGTTATAATTTTCTTTTGTGTTGTGTCTTTTGACTTTTTTTTTAAAAAAAAGATCTGTAAGCCACTCTGGGAATACTTTAGTCTGAAAAACAGGATATAAATGCTTTATTTAAATAAGCAATAAAGACTTTTCTATGCTTGTCACATTCTGCAACAACAACAGCTCTTGGACGTAATTCGGCTGAACTCTGAAGTCTCCTGATGTTTCAAAGAAATCATGCACAGGCAGCCAACTCTATACATAGGACTTAAAAGGCTGAGTGGGGGAATCCTTTCAACATTAAGCACCAACAGTGCATTAAAGCCACAGTTCCTCTAAATGGATGGATGGATAGATGACTTTATTATGGGATCAAGGACCAGCAAGCTCTAAATGTATGCACTGAAGGAGAACAAGTTAGAAAATGAATCTTGGTATAATTGCCACACACTAGCATTGTTTGGATATAATACGACATGATGGCAATATGAACACAAGACCATAGTATGCTGCCTGATACCTGCTGAAATCCTGTTCCATAATTTAAACTATGTAAGGTTGATGACGACACAGCCACAGCAATTTTTTTCAGAAATTAATTCTCCTGGGAATTGTCTGGAAACTACTATGGGCCCTTGGATGGGGGCGGGGGCTCTTTAATTTCCAAAAATGGTCTCTGCTGGTAAAACAATCTCATGGTGGCTATCTTAGAAAATGAAAGATATTCCCCTCGTCTTGCAGTCTCCAACAGCTTCCTGATGACACGAGGGATCCCCAAGAGAGCCTTGACCCCTTCAAGGGTGAATTGCAAGGCTATCTTAGAAAATGAAAGACATTCCCCTCGTCTTGCAGTCCCCAACAGCTTCCTGATGACATGAGGGATCCCCCAAGGGAGCCTTGACCCCTTCAAGGGTGAATTGCAAATGGTCTCTGCTGGTAAAACAATCTCATGGTGGCTATCTTAGAAAATGAAAGATATTCCCCTCGTCTTGCAGTCTCCAACAGCTTCCTGATGACACGAGGGATCCCCAAGAGAGCCTTGACCCCTTCAAGGGTGAATTGCATGTTTTTTAGCTCAGTGATTTAGGCACCTGGCCAAGGAGCCAGAGGTTGGGAGTTGGATTGTGCCTCTTTAAAACAGGGGCCGGACCTAATGATACTTAGGGTCCCTTCTAGTTTTGTTGCTCTAAGATGATAATGATGATTTCTGAAAATGTTTCAATGCTGATAACTCCATCAGCCTTGCACAGCACATGTTTTAGCAACAGAATTTTAAACACTGAGTCAAAGCCTACATCCTCCAAGCCCAGTTATCATCAACTCTGACCGGCAGTGACTCACCAGAGATTCAGACAAGAGTTCCTTCTGAGCCTCGCCTAAATATCATTGGCACACACTGGTGGCCTCACATCCAGAGGACTAACCAGACCTGATCCTCTTTTGTTTTGAATGTCAAATTAAACTAGGTGTGTCCACAGTGGTATGGCATTTAGAAGCAATTTTAAATCTTGTTGTTGTTTTTCCTATGAAACCTTTGCCCCACAAAGTCTTACTCTGTGGCCTCAGCAGGGCATGGAGGCAGTCACGGGTTCATGAAGGTTATGCCAGCACAGCAAAATCTCTGGCAAAACTTGGGAGGACAGCTCTGGAAGTGAACTGCCTGACCGGTGTCTAAGGACTAGTACTGAAACGACTGTCAACAGAAAAGTTGAAAGCAGGTGGTGAATGGGCCATAGCAGCCACACATAGAACAGCTGCAGTATGCATTGGTAGAGAGACGGATGAAAGCACAAATGTTTCAGATGTTCAAGGGCAGGAAACAACAATCCCATCATCATCTCTTGCTAGGCACAGTTCTCCCTTCCCTCCCCCACCCCATTTATTAATGTTGCCCTGTGAAGAACTGGTTAAAGAGCAATGAATTAAAGTAAATTATGAACGCAAGAAGACAATGGGAAAAAAGAATGGATTTCTTTTTCCAAGGGGGTGAGATAAAGCTCTACCCACTATCCTCTATGCTGATCACAAGATGTACAAAAAGCTTCCACTCTAGAAGAAACTATTGAGAGGTTATTGTTAGAGTGAGACAAACAAGACAATGAGCTCTTATGTCCTTTAAAAAAATGCTAATGCATCATGCAGAGACACTGGGGGTGGGTTTAGCTCAGAGAACCATACAGTATGCTTAAGATAATGCAGACTCTTGGGAGTCATTTTCTACTGTAATTTGTTAGTTAAAAAGTGAAGTAGCAAATAATTTCACACAATGTTTAGTACTTATTTCTGTTATGCTGAGTTCTGATTTTATCTTCAGTTGTCTACAGATAGGCAGCTTTACTAAATACATTGTTAACAAAACAGAGAGCTATAAAGACACAGAACTCAAAGCCCATGGTCTTGTTTTTTGAAACAAATTTTGAATCTTCATCAGAGATTGTCTGCATATTTTTAAAATTCCTCCCAACCTTTAAAAAAAAAAGGAAAGAACCCCAAGGCTTGAAGGGATCACATTCTGTTCTGTTACTTCAGATTATGATATTTTGCAATGGTTGGAATAAACCCCGATGTGTTCTCTGGGAAGAGAGTCCAAGGATAAAACAGAGCTTACTCGGAAGCTACGGACTCTGGGATGGGCTCTTCAAGCAGCTCCAAACTGTGTAGGATCCAGTAGCACAACCATGGGCGGCTGGCATCCAGACACTATAAAAGAAGAAACAGGAGATGTTCAAATCCATGTCTGTCAAAGCTGTTAAGGATGGACGCATTTCTTACACAATGGCAGCAGGAGAATGCAAAAGACTATACTGTGACAAAGACTAACCGGAGTAAAATTAAAGTCTAGGAGACTGGATATACATTTGTGAAAGGATTTGCTGTAACACTAAAAACAAAATAATAGACAAAACAAAACATGCGGTAATAATTTCTCAGAGTTTTGAACTTCAATGCTGTAAATCTTAAAATTAAAATTGATTGCCTACAGGGGGCACAAGTTTAACAAGGCTAGTGTGAGGGGATCACTATTAGTGACTTGGGTGGGCTGTCTGCCCTAGCCTCAGACACACACACATGCACACACACATCCCGAGAAGAGCAGGTGCTCCAAGGTCTGAAGGAGAGAGGGAGGAGGGAAGTGCAGGGGTCTAAAGGGAGAGAAGTGATGAACAGCACCCAAGAGCCCAAGAGGCAGGCCCAGAAGGGGGATTAAAAGAAGGTGAGGAGGAAGGCGAGGGTGTTTCTTCGAGATCAGGGACACCTGGCGAGGCATCAGGAAACACCTGGGGCTCAGCGTCCGAGGAGCTGGAGCACATCCTGTGTGTTGAGGTGGAGCAGACTTGGGAGCCAAACAAGGATCTCTGGTAGGAATCCTTGGGGGGGTTTTCCCAGTGTTCAGAGGCAGAAGCTGCTGGTGAGGGACTGCATCCACTCCAACTCCAGAACTCCGTGTGCTGGTGTCGAGAGGTAGGGACCAGAAAGAGAGGCAGCACTTTCACCAGGAGGAGGCAATTCAAAGCATGAGAGGTCAACCCTCGCTTACAGCCAGCCATCAATACTGACCCTCATTGAAAGACCCCAAGTCTGGTCCCAAACTAAGCTTATTTATTATCAGGACTTCACTGGCCTCAGCGATGGAAACTGAAGCCAGTGCTGAAATGACTGCAGTCAAGAGAGAAGTGCCAGGAACTGAGTCCCCTGGGATGTGGGAGGGGAGTGATGAGGAACCTCTGTTAAAAGATTCTCATATGACTTAACCAGCAGCCTGGAGCCAATAAAACTATTGGCACGAGAAGGCATGACACTCCTCAGATGGCCGGTTCTGCTGGCAGCAGAGGTTGCAGCACTCACAACCAGAAAGAGACCATCCTCGTTTCTGCTCTGTAGTTCTAAAATGGTGATGATGATGATTCAAAAACGCCAGGCACATTCAAAATTATAAAAACATTGACTAGTATTATGTAACAGATATAAGTTTTAACCAAAAATCTAAGCATCTGTTAAATATTGGCGTAGTATGTATGCTGTTCCTAGTACTGCCATTATTGTAGCTCTGACTGTGTTATTTCTGAGATCTTCAACTGCTCATAGTACTGTGTGAAATTTCTTGATATTGTTCCCAAAGCCCCAATGACTATGGGGACCATTGGAATGTGTTTCTTCCAGAGGCGAGATGTTTCAATTGACAGGTCTCTGTACTTTGTTAGTTTTTTCAATTCTTTATTTTCAACTCTGGCATCCCCTGGAATTGCAATGTCAATGATCCAGACATTTCTTCATTCTGTTACTACTATGTCTGGTGTGTTATGTTCAAGGTGTCTGTCCGTTTGGATCTGGAAATCCCACAAGATCTTGACTTCCTCGTTTTCTGACACCTTCTCTACCTCATGTTCCCACAGGTTTTTGGAGGCTGGTAAGTTATATTTTTTGCACAATGACCAGTGCATTAACTTTGCCACTCTATCATATCTAACTCTGTAATCTGTGCAATCTTTGGACATTCACAGATGAGGTATGACACAGTTTCGTATTTTTCTTGGCAGAGTCAACATTTGCTGTTAGCACTAATTCCTTGGATCTTAGCTTTCATCGCACTGGTTTGAAGTGCTTGTTCTTGTGCACCAACAATCAAGCCTTTGGTTTCTTTCTTAAGGGTCCCCAGTTTTAGCCATGCCCATGTTGAGTTATGATCATGCTTTCCATCAATATTTCTCAGGTGTTATCCATATAGTGGTTTATTTTTCCAACTGTTTAAGTTATTTTCAAATTGTTTCTTATATTGAATTATATATTTTTTATATTGAAAATTATTTTCAAATTCTTTCTTATATTAAACCTTTGTTTCTGTTGTTTTCAAAACATTTTCCATTTTCACTGCCTTAAGTAATTTTTCTCTGCTTGTACTGATATAATCATTTAGGCTTCTTTTTTCCTCCTCTACTACCTGCTGTATTTGCAGTAATCCACAGCCTCCGATTTTCGTGATAAACATAATTTGTCGACATCATTTTTTGGATGTAATGTGTGATGCATGTTCATTAGTTTCCATGTTTTTTGATCCATTTCTTCTAATTTGTTTTGAGTTCAATCTAGTATTCCAGCTGGGTATCTAATTACTGGAACTGCCCATGTGTTTATGGCTTTGATTGTATTTCCTTCATTTACTTTTGCTTTTAAGATTTCTCACAGTCTTTCGATATATTCCCTTTCTGTCAGTTCTTTAACATTTCTGTGCACAATGTTATCTGCTTCTAGTTTTCCAAGGTACAGTATTTATAATTTTAATCAGTTGAATGTGATTTTATAATACTGAAATTTTTAACTCCATTCTATCTAGTTTTTAGATCTTGCCACGGTGCATGGACAGAGCTGTGCATTTGTCAATTCCAAAATTCATTTGGATATCTTCACTAAATATTTGCACTGTGTTTAGCAGTGATTCGATCTCAGTGGAACTTTTCCCATCATTTTGGGTAGAACAAAACTTTGTTCCTGGGGCGACTGCAATACAGTGGGGTCTTGACATGAGAACTTAATCCGTATTGGAAGGTGGTTCTCAAGTCAAAAAGTTCTCAGGTCAAATCTGCATTTCCCATAGGAATGCATTGAAAACCATTTGATCCGTATCGGCTCTTTTCCGTCCATAGAAACTAATGGGAAGCTGCTATTCTGCCTTCGACCACTAGAGGGGGATATTTTGTTTCTTTTTTTCTTAGGTCAAGAAAGGTTCAGGGAAGGCAAGGAAAATACAGTCCAGGCAGTACCAGGCAGTCTAAGTATGTAAGTCAAGTCAATATTTTCCTATGAGAGTGGTTCTTAAGTCAAAATGTTCTTAACTCAAGCCGTTCTTAAGTCAAGACCCCACTGTAACTACCATGGCATCTCTCTTCTTAGCATCGTAGGGAAGCTGCTTGCCCGTGTTGTGCTGAAGAGGCTCCAGATGCTCGCAGACAGAGTCTATCCAGAATCACAGTGTGCATTTCTAGCTAACAGATCCACCACTGACATTGTATTCTCCCTCCGACAGCTGCAGGAGAAATGTAGGGAACAATGACAGCCACTCTTTATGACCTTCATAGATCTCGCAAAGGCCTTTGATTTGGTTAACAGAGACGGCCTTTTTAAAATACTTTCCAAGATTGGATGTCCACCTTGACTCCTTAACATCATCAGGTCATTTCATGAGGAAATTAAGGGCACTGTAGTTTTTAATGGCTCAACATCAGATCCCTTTGACATTCAAAGCAGAGTGAAACAGGGCTGTGTCCTCACGCTGACCCTGTTTGGGATCTTTTTTGCTATCATGCTGAAGCATGCCTGTGGAACTGCAACAGAAGGTGTTTATCTCTGGACTAGATCAGATGGAAAGCTCTTTAATCTCTCTAGACTGAGAGCAAAGATCAAAGTCCAGATGAAATGCATGCGGGACTTCCTCTTTGCCAATGATGCAGCTGTTGTTGCCCACTCTGCTGAAGACCCCAAAAACTCATGAATCATTTAAGCAATGCCTGCCAAGACTTTGGACTAATAATCAGCCTGAAGAAAACACAAATCATGGGCCAGGTCGTGGACTTACCTCCCTCTATTACCATCTCCACACAAGAATTGGAGGTTGTTCATGTGTTTGTGAACCTTGGCTCAACGATCTCTGACACCCTCTCCCTAGATGTCAAGCTGGATAAACTCACTGTCAAAGCAGCTACCATATTCTCTGGACTCAAAAAGAGAGTATGGACGATGACTTTTTTGCGATCACTATTGCAAATCAATGTTTCCTATGGGGGATTTTCGCTTGACGTTGATTAGGTCCTTGCTTTGCGAACCGTTTGTTCGCAAAATGACGATATTTCCGGCTCCACAAAATGGCTTCCCTTCGCAAAATGGGTGTTTTCCAGACAGAAGCTTTGCAAGACAGCGATTTAAAACAGCTGATCAGCAGTTCTCTATGGGTGATCTTCACTGGACGATGAGGTATTTCCCCATTGGAACGCATTAAACGGTTTTCAATGCATTCCAATGGTTTTTTTCGCATCACGACAATTTCACTGTACAGTGATTTTCCTGGAACGGATTATTGCTGTCATGCGGGGCACCACTGTACCAAAATCCAGGTCTATGGAACCTGTGTCCCAAGTACACTCCTGTACTGCAGTGAGTCCTGGATCATTTGTGCATGGCAGGAGAGGAAGCTGAACACATTCCATATGCGTTATCTCAGACGCATTTTTGGTATCACCTGGCAGGACAAAGTTCCAAATAGAGTAGTCCTAGAACGAGCTGGAATTGTTAGCATGTATACATTATGAAACAGCGATGTCTACATTGGCTTGGGCATGTCATGAGAAAGGCTAATGGTCGGATTCCAAAGGATCTCCTGTATGGAGAATTAGTGCAGGGAAAGCGCCCCAGAGAGAGACCACAGCTACGATACAAAGATATCTGCAAGCGGGATCTGAGGGCCTTAGGAATGGACCTCAACAGATTGGAAACCTTGACATCTGAGCATTCAGCCTAGAGGCAGATTGTGCATAAAGAGCTCTCCCATTTTGAAGAGAGGCAAAGAGGCAGTCCCGAAAGCAGCAAAATCAGGAAGCTGGACAGGGACAGATTATGTTTGTCTTCAGCATGGAAGGGATTGTCACTCTCAAATTGGCCTTCTCAGCCACACTAGATGCTGTTCCAAGTCCTCCATACAGAGCATGTTACCATAGTCTCTCAAGACTGAAGGATGCCTAATCTCTCTATCCTAATCTAGGCAAAAGGAGGGGGAAAGGGATCAAAGTGCTGTAGGACGAATTGATTCATTGTTCCTTGGGTCATGGGGGGGACAAGTCATTGTTCATTCTGGCGCATTGTCCCCATCTCTAGTTTTGGGTCATCCATGTATAACAGATAATTGATTTTTCCTGCTTGTTCTAAAATATGATGGCCTAATACAGTTTTATTTAAAATTATTGACATGGGGATTAGTGAGATGTTAAACACCAGTGGTGACAAATAATCCTCATTTGGTGCTAACTTCCCCAGTTTCTTCACCATGGGACAAATTAAGACAGTTTTCCCCTTTTCCATGTTTTTCTTGAGGAACTTCTTAATGTTTTTACTAATCTCAAACATTTTGTTGTTGTTTAGTCGTTAAGTCATGTCCGACTCTTCGTGACTCCATGGACCAGAGCACACCAGGCCCTCCTGTCTTCCACAGCCTCTCGGAGTTTGGTCAAATTCATGTTGGTTGCTTCGATGACAATGTCCAACCATCTCATCCTCTGCCATCCCCTTCTCCTCTTGCCTTCACACTTTCCCAACATCAGGGTCTTTTCCAGGGAGTCTTCTCTTCTCAAGAGATGGCCAAGGTACTGGAATCTCAGTTTCAGGATCTACCCTTCCAGTGAGCACTCAGGGTTGATTTCCTTTAAAATGGATAGGTTTGTTCTCTTTGCAGTCTAGGGGACTCTAAAGAGTCTCCTCCAGCACCACAGTTCAAAAGCATCAATTCTTTGGTGGTTGGCCTTCTTTATGATCCAGCTCTCATTTCCATACATCGCTACTGGAAAAACCATAGCTTTGACTATGTGGACCTTTGTCGGCAAGGTGATATCTCTGCTTTTTAAGATGCTGTCTAGGTTTGTCATCGCTTTCCTCCCAAGAAGCAGACGTCTTTTAATTTCGCAGCTGCTGTCTCCATCTGCAGTGATCCTGGAGCCCAAGAAAGTAAAATCTGTCACTGCCTCCATATCTTCCGCTTCTATTTCCCAGGAGGTGATGGGACCAATGGTCATGATCTTAGGGTTTTTTTTATGTTAAGTTTCAGATAATTTTTTTGGCGCTCTCCTCTTTCGTCGTCATTAAGAGGTTCTTTATTTCCTCCTCACTTTCTGCCATCAGAAAATGAGGAGGCCTGCCCAACATTTTTAGGCAGGTGTTAATCCAGCTTTGGTAATGAGTCAAATGCTCTTTTATAGTTTATCCAGGTCATGTTAAGGTTTGTTTTTCATCTTTTTGCATTCTTCAGCATCATTTTATCAAAAAGCAGCTGATCTTTTGTGCCTCTTGACTTTTTAAAGTTCCCTTTCTATTCAGTTGGGTATAGGGGAAATATCAGTTAAGTAATTATATATTGATCTTGCAAATACCCCTGTGAGGAGCTTGAACATTGTTGGAAGGCATGTAATTGGTTGATAATTACTGGGTTCCTTGCCTTTTTGATGATATTTTATTATTACTAATGTGTGGCCTGTTGTTATCAAGTCTTCAGTTGTAGAATTTTGAGGTAAGTGGTTAAATCTCTTTAGTTAGGCGTCCCTCAGTCTCGAAAGACTATGGCAACGTGCTCTTTATGGAGGACTTGGAACAGCATCTAGTGTGACTGAGGAGGCCAATTTGAGAGTGACAATCCCTTCCACACTAAAGACAAATACAATCTTTCCCCTGTCCAGCTCCCTGATTTTGCTGCTCCCGGGACTGCTGGACAAGGGTCTCTTCAAATTGGGAGAGGTCATGATGAAACGTTTGCCTCCAGGCTGAACGCTCTGATGTCAAGGTTTCCCATCTGTTAAGGTCCATTTCTAAGGCCTTCAGATCCTGCTTGCAGATGTCCTTGTATCACAGCTGTGGTCTCCCTCTGGGGCGATTTCCCTGCACTAATTCTCCATTCAGGAGATCCTTTGGAATCCAACCATCAGCCATTCTCATGACATGCCCAAGCCAATACAGACATCACTATTTCAATAATGTATATATGCACTGCTATACGTTAATGGAGACGTGTTAGATGCTTTAACCAAAATCCGTGTGGCTCATTTGCACCAGGTGCACTCCAATTTTTCACAGCTTTTATATGCCTCTTAATTATTTCAGTTGTTATTACAATATTATCTATTTGTTTTCCTTGAGTTTCTTTACAAATGTCTTTAATCCATGAGGTGTTTTTGTTATGTCTGGTTGGGCTTTCCCACATTTCTTTCCAAAATTTTAGAACATCATCCTTACATAGGCCTAATCTCTTTTGCTCTGCATTTTCTCCTAGTGATGTATAGAATAACTGCTGGTTATTTCAAAATTGCTTGTTTTCTCTATATTGTTTGAAGCGTCCATCATTTCTTCCCATTTTCTTTGCTGTAGCTGTTACCTGCTGTCTTAATTCTTCCATGGTTTTAACAATTGTTTTCCTTTCTAGGTCATATATTTTGCATAATCTGTCTTTTACTTTTTCATTTTTAACTTTTGAATCTTTCAAGTTTTTAAAGTTGCAAATGTCTTCACGTGGTATGCTTATTTTTCTTTTCAGCCATATTTTCTATTTTGGGGTGCCCTGAATTTTCTGGCGGTTTTGCAGCTTATAATCAAATTCCATGGTTATTATGGTAGCTGTGCTGTACATGAGCTGGTTTGTTTCCTTTAGCGTGTTGGTTGGGATTGTTCTGATGACAACATTTACATCACTCAGTAGATCTTTTACTGGTTTACTTTGTAATTGGTGCAAATTGGGGAGCCTTTGTCCCTTTGTGTTCTAGCTAATATGGTTACTATTTTTCCCTCAGTGATGTTTGCTGTTCTGTCAACTCATACCATATTTTTGGCTCCATAAGACGCACCTGACTATAAGACACATGTAATTTTAGAGGAAGGAAAACAGGAAAAAAAATTCTGTCATGCCTGGCTGTCTGGGTGGCACTATGGCGTCTCCCCCATGGCCTGGGTGGCGGCGGGAACCATAGCCCAAGTAGTAATCATGGGCTCCCCGCTCTCGTTTATCGTTACCTGGTTGCCCACACACACACCCTTATTTTGGGAGGAATGTAAAAGAGACACCTCAGCCAGTCCCTGACGGGTGTCCTGAGAGACAGAAGACAGAAAGAGAGAGAGAGGAGGGAGGCGGGAAGGGGAGAAGAAGGAAGGGGGAAGTGTGCAGAGGACAAGCCGCCGCCACCGTGTGAGCGAAGAAAGGGCTGGCAGAGCGAAAAGCAAGGCAAGGGTGAGAAGAAAGCTGAGATGAACGAGTAGAAGAGAGGAAAGCTACGGAGGGGAGGGAAAGGAGGAGGAGCTTGTTGCGCTCCCCCATTTAGAGTCTCCTCTTGCATCGCATTCCGCTGGTGGAGGCGGTGTGAGGCTGCGGCAGGCGCCCCTCTAATGTTCAGATCCCAACCTAGTGAGGGGGACGTGGAGAGACAAGAGAAACATGGAGCGGGGCATCGATGGAAGAGAAGGAGTACAGCGGCATGGGCTCTGGGGGGGGGTCTGCACCATTTTTTACAGTATTCGTTCCATAAGACGCACACACTTTTCCCTCCACTTTTTTTGGGGGGGAGTACGTCTTATGGAGCGAAAAATACGGTAATTTTTATTTTTTTCCATGTCGTTCCTCTACTGATACGTTTTCTTCCACTATTGTGTCTACCACTCCCCTCCATTTGTCTTCCATATTATGGTCATTGTTCTGTGTTGATCTTGCCACCTTTTCTAGTTTTTACCATTCCAGTTCTGAAAACACTTTACTCTGGATGATAAACCTTCTCTGGTCCATTAATCATTGTTCAGTTATATCACTACTTGGGTGTTTCCTTTTCCAAATTTGCATCATTCTTTTTTGAAAACCACCGGCTGTTGGGTTTGCTTTGTAGTAACATTTCATAATTTCTTGATTTTTGGTAAGAATCCAAGTTTTGCGTTTACATACGTTTTTCCAGTAGCTTTGCAGCAGTGTGTCCTCAACAGGGTCTGCTGAGCTCTGTAACCCATCTGTCACCAGATGCCATGGGGCTATAGCAACTGACACGGTCCTTGTTGACCCGGGCAACAACCAATCCAGTATGGGTTTCTGCTTATTTCATAAGAACATAAAAAGTGCCCTGCTGGATCAGGCCAAGGGCCCATCTAGTCCACCTTCCTGTATCTCACAGTGGCCCCATCAGAGGCCTCTGTAAGAACATGAGACAACTAGATCCCTGTCTCCTGATACCCCTCACCTGCATCTGGCATTTTGAAGTACCTTCCTTTTAAGCCTGGAGATTATATATCCCCATCATGGTTTGTAATCTGCAATGGACTTTTCCTCTAGGAATCTGTCCAATCCCCTTTTAAAGACCTTCAGGCCAGTTGCCTTCACCACATCCTGTGGCAAGGAGTTCTACAGACTAACAACATGCTGGGTAAAGAAATTTCTTTTGTCTATTCTCACTCTCCCTACACTCAATTGGAGCTCCTCCACCTCAACAAGACCTGTGCCCATGGAGTGGATGATGATGACAATGACGACGATGAAATAATTTTAATGGCCATATTGTGACTCAAAGTCCTGTAATACTTCTGTCTCAAGTCACTCATGGCTCCCCTTTCATCATCATGAGCCTATGTGGGAGACAGGAGAAGGATGTCTCCAATTACCATGAATTATCCATAAAGTCATACTGGCGGCTGTGATTTTTGACAGTTAGAGACTTTCTCTTCCTGTCTTGCAACACCCACAGTTTCTCAGCAACGAAAGGGATTATACAAGAGGCATGGGTGCCTTGAGATAAAAGCTGCCTCAGTTTAAGATCTCATCAGCCTTATATGGTGAAAGTTATACAAACAAGAGTTCAGCAGCTGGCACAACTGGGAAAAATAACAAACCCTGCAGGAATTACCTCATAGGCATCTGTCAACTGCCTCAGTCCTCTCTTTAAGTAGTGGAAGTGTTTCTCCCGGTGCAAAACAAACCTGAAGAAGAGATCAAAAAGCATCATGAATTATTTAAATTATGTTCACCATGACCATTCAGCCAAATGAGAAAAAGAAAATCTCCTATCTGTTTGCTCTACTCCTGTCTTGTGTACCCACCTGGAAGGCTGATTGCAAGTGGAGCACTTCATAAGAAGTGCTCCACCGTATTAGACCAAAGGCTCACCTAATCCGGTGCTCTGGTCAGCATCCAAAGATGGTTTTAGGCTCAGAGAATCACCTTATGCTAGTCTAAATCAAATGCTAAGTCCCACCTTTGACAGCCAAGTTTTCTGTGATATCAAAGACAGCTTTGGAAATCAGAATTAGCTATTTTTTTTTCTTTTACCCCTCCTTCCATCACTGACTCATGTTCAGCTTGTGATCTACTAAGACCTTTAGAACAGGTTCCTCATTTCAGGATAGTTTAGAAGACTTTAGTCTTTCGCTCCCTTCTAGACCTGACAGAGTTGCCACACCTTCTGCTTTGTCATTTGTACCAAACTGAAGCTTTCTTTCAAATGCAAAAAGCTGGTCCAGAACCCAGCCTGTATATCTATTATGCAGAAATTGAAAAGTTACTTTATTGTGGACTACAACTCTCAGAATCCCCCACCAGCCATGTTTTGGATTCTGAGGTTTTTAACCCAACTAGTAACTTACTAAAGTTCTGCCATAATGTGATGGAATTACTAGAACTCCACTTAGTATTCGGGATGTGCACATGCCACTACAGGTATATACAGTATAATGACGTTGGCTTGAATCTTAACATAAGCAAGCAAAAGAAAACACACAGAAAATCTCACCCCTACCCCCACTGCAACTGCCCATGTCCCCTCAAGATGCTCTGGAGAGCGATATGATTGTCCTAAACAATGTATAGATTCAGGGGTTCCACTGGATGCAGGAGTGACCCAAAACAAGTATGCAGATCTCTGTCAACGTTCAGATAAAAATGCAAAGTTCTTAAATAGTCTGTTCTTTCTAAACTGTGCGTGCAGCAAGTGTTTCATGGATGCAATGACTTACTGTGGGTCATGGTGGTTTGTCTTGTAAACATCAAAGACTTCTTGAACAATATCTTCTACTTTTGTCTGCAGAAACCAAAGGGACAAAGACAAATGGACCACATATTAGTTTTAGAACATTAAGACACAGAAGCAGACAACCTGGTAATTTTCAGATACTTTACATTCCTTACTACTGGCAATCTTGGACACAGCTGTTGGGAACTATGGTCCAAAACATCAAGAAGGCGTGACTTTATCTACCCCTGCCTAAACATACCTGTCCCAAAGCAAGGACAAAATATTACACGGCATTTATTCTCTTCAGTGTACCTGTAATTTCCACAAACTTTTCATATGAAACAAGGGAAAAGCAGAGCACAAAAAAACCAAATACAGAAGGAAGAATTCCTTAAAAGGACTAAACTTTCTAGGGCTTCCTTGTCTTGTAGCTCATTTTAAGGTAGGGAATAAAGCTTTGATTGACACTTTTGTGATAGTCTGCCACTCTGCCTTTCTTTCTAGCATTTTCACACACTCTCCCTTATATGAGAAGTGCTCTCTTCATTAAAGGTCAGACAGCAAAGAGAGATAATGAGCAAATGTTTCCTCCTCACACAAGTCTCAGGGCTCCAGCAACAAAGCTCAAACCCAACCAGTAATGATCTTGACCGGAAGATAACTGTAATTTCAGCCACTTCAGCCTTAACAGCAAGAGACAGCAAGAGCAAATTAAATCCGGCACAGGCCATGAATCCAAGACTTTCTTGAATACCGGGGAACAATTCTACCAACAGTGTGCATGCTTGGCTTTTGTGTGTGCCTCTTTCAGGCCTCAGGGAAGATACTTGGCTTTCCTCCAGTTTCAGAGATTTCCTTCAATGATGTGGGTTCAAAGGCTGAATGTTGTATTGGGGAAACAGCCACATGCACTCAGCAATCAAGCTGATTTTGTATCAGTTATTTACTCTCTGCTTCAGTTACCCTACCAAGACAAAAGGCTGTCAAACACCAAACATTAGATATGCTTTGTAAACAAAACTAATTTTTCGCTTTGTCTATCTAGACAACTGGGGCTTTAACTATTTCCATAGCTAATACTTAGGTGATTCTTCCAGTGATTGTAAATAAATCCCAAACCTTGAGAGAGGAGGGAGTGGAAAATGTTTACTCTGTAAAGTTTTACATAACCAAAACAGCAAATGGAGTGCCACTGGCATTACTTCCTACTGCAACCTAGCTCCACAGCCAAGGACCAGCCACAAAAACATAACCCCAGAAAACATCCACCAGTGGTAGTGGTGGGATTGACATCCTCCACTGAAATCTTAAAATCCAGGGGGACTTATGTACAGTACGTACTTTGAATTGTCCTGTTTACCTGCAGCCATGGTGAGCATCATGCTTTAAATACATCTACAGGACTATCACCTTTCTTGTCTCCCTGTGCTTCATGGCAAGGACTTGCAGTTCTTCACATATAAGTGGTGCCCCACATAGCGACGATAATCCGTTCTGGATAAATCGTCGCTATCCAGATTCGTCGCTATATGGGGCAAAAAACCCCATAGGAACGCATTAAACCCTGTTTAATGCGTTCCTATGGGGGGGAACTCACTGTTCTGCGAAGATTCTCCATAGCGGCAGCCATTTTCGGTGCCTCTAAAGCGAGGCAACACAGCAGGAGGCCATTTTGGAACCGCCGATCAGCTGTGCGAAAATGGGGCATTTGGGAGGATCACGGTGGAGGGAACCCTCCCCCGTGGTCCTTCCAAAGCCACCGCTGGCATTTTTGCCCAGATGAGCGGCGGTGGCTTCGGAAGCTCCCGCCGCTCAGCTGGGGGAAAATGCCGGCTAGGGCTTTGCGAGGACAGCCATTTTCGGTGCCTCTAAAGCGAGGCAACACAGCAGGAGGCCATTTTGGAACCGCCGATCAGCTGTGCGAAAATGGGGCCTTTGGGAGACCGTGGGGGAGGGAACCCTCCCCCGCGGCCCTTCCAAAGCCACTGCCGGCATTTTCGCCCAGCTGAGCGGCGGTGGCTTCGGAAGCTCCCGCCGCTCAGCTGGAGGAAAATGCTGGCTAGGGCTTTGTGATGGTCCTTCCCAAGCCCCAGCCGGTCAGCTGGGGAAAATGGGATTATGGGGAAAAAATCGCAAAGCGATTTTTCCCCATAGGCAACATCGCAATGCGATCGCAAAAGCCATTGCAAAAAAGCCATCGCTATGCGGATTCGTCATTAAACAGGGTGCCCGTTAAGCGAGGCACCACTGTAATGACCACAGACAACAAGTTCTCCAATACAATTTTTACCACATATACTATTTAAACCACAAGTTGCCTTACACCATGTCAGGTTAACTGTCCTCCTAGCCAATTAGCAATAAAGAATGATAAATCCAGATACCAGATAGAGGCCTTTCCTGTCCCTGCTTAATGCCATGAACTGATAAGAACTACATGCCCTGTTTTCCTACTACACTATGGCCCTTTTTGTTTTCAGACATATAGTTCAAAAAACTTCCACAGAGAACAAATAAACATGGTATCACCACCAGGTCAACAGCTTTCAACAGCTAATTTTAAGTGTGCAACACATCATTAGAACACTACGGAGCAATATAATGCACAAAGCAAATGCAACAACTTAAATAAAGGTTAACTAAAGTCTCACATTTATTAATTCCAGATGAGTGGCCAACACTCATCTGGAATTCTGCAAGTTTAGCTTTTGTAAGCTAAAATGGTATTAGAACACAGCAATATAATGCACAAAGCAAATGCAACAACTTAAATAAAGGTTAACTAAAGTCTCACATTTATTAATTCCAGATGAGTGGCCAACACTCATCTGGAATTCTGCAAGTTTAGCTTTTGTAAGCTAAAATGGTGCATGCTAACCCATGAAAACTATACCACAGTAAATACGTTGGCTCTTGTGTGTTCATTTATTAATGTAACCGAGAAGTCAGAACTTACGAATCAGCTATGCTTGTTTTTAAGAAAAAAATTGGCACAAACAGTCTGAATGTAGGCTGCATGTACAGTACAAAAGCTACATTTACTGAGAAAGCAGATTCATTGTAAATACAACCACTAGCAGTCTTAAATTTTATTTACTTTCTTAAAGTAACTATTCACCACTTCTATTGTTTTTTTTAAAATTATAAAACACTATAAAAATACAACAATATTAAATATCCTAATAGTTAAAATATTTTTAAATATTAAAGTCATGAGACCTTGTAAAACAAGGTTTAAAACAACACAATCAATTAATGGTTAGGAACAACCAGGGTAAACAAATAAGCTTCTGAAGAACTCAAAAAAAGAGATGTATATCTTTTTCTATTATGTCCAATGAATTGGACTTGTCCACAAAAGCTTGCATTAAAAAAAATATAAAGTTAGTCTTTAAGGTGCCACCAAGTGTTTGCCTCTTTATTTTATTCTTTTATTTTTATTTTACTTTTATTTTGTTTTTACCCATAATCCAAAAAAAGAGCAGATGATGTGGGTGACTAATGCACTGCAGTGGGGGCAATCAAGGGTGAGAGCTACCACCAAGCAGGCCTGTCGCTATCATACATGGCACTGCTGGATGTGGCACCAAGGGATACAGTAGCTAAGCCTAGAGCTTAAAAACACTGAGATGGATCATACTTGGAAGCTTCGGAGATTAACAAGTTTTAGAATAATACAGTAATTACATGCTGTGAAGTTAGTTTTTAGTCATTGCGACCTTTCTCAGGGTTTTCTAGGTAGAAACTACAGTACTCAGAAGTGCTTTATCATTCCCTTCTTTCTGGGGGCAATCTGGAACATTGTATCTTGCTCAAAGCTACCTCTTCTTCCAGGAGACACGGTGGGCAATCGAACTCCCAGCTTCTGGCTCTGATATCTAACTCATTGAGCTATCTAGCCTGCTAAAGGTCCATTATCCAATAGAGCCTTGTAAATGTGCTGATTTCAAGAAACAATATTTCATCCATGGCTAAACTGTTATTTTATGCACTTGTGTCAGTTCTGTGGAGGGTTCCAATGATCTACTGCACGTTGCTCACCTGTGCCCAATACCTAAACTTACAAGTCTCCTCGTTTTCCTCCTTTGACTCCCCACCCCGGATCCTGGGTACGTTACCGACTTTACTACAACAGAGGTGTGGAATTTTAGCAATTTCATATCCCAGCACCTCTATGACTATACCCCTGCTGGCCAAATACAGATGGCAGAAGTTTTGGAAAAACACCTCTGCTTCAAAACAAGGTGGAGGGGTGGTAGTGTCCACTTTGTCTTAAAAGAAAACTGTGATTGTTCCAGATCCTAAAATAGCCTCTTTCTACCTGGTCCTTTCCAGATACATTAGGCTACAATGTAGCACCTCCAATCACTATTTAAATGATATTTTGCAATTATTTTGTTATGACTGTTACATCCAATTATATAATTAGTATTGTATATTCACTGTTATTTGCTTAAATACTGTCTTTTAATTGTTGTAAGCTACCTTGGGTCCATTTTAAGGAGAAAAGTACGTTTAAAATAGCATAAATAAAAATATTTTAAAAATTGTAATTACCCGTTCCATTAATTAATAATTATAAAATACCGATACTATGAATGATTTTGCTGATTTAAATTATATTAATTTAGATTGCTCCTTCTGACTTGTAGCAGCAAGTGAGGTTCTTGCCGATTTTGAAATAATTATGTTCCATCTAATCAGGGAACCCTACCCTCCTTGCTTCTGTTTGTGTCCCTGTGCTTACTGTTAACTGAAAGGTGTTTATTTTTTTAGGTATGGCTAGTTGTCGTCTTACCTGGAGGCTGGATTTATCCCTGTAGCAATTTTATTTGGTCCTGCCCTGTGGGTTCCCTCACCAAATCTTGTCACAGAGTGGTAAAACCTTTCTCCCAGTAAGGGAAGAGAACAGTTTAAAGCTGCAATATGGTGTGCCAGTCTTCTAACAAACTGGTGGCCATGGAAGCAGGTGAGCAAGCCTGTGAAGGAGGGATGGAGTCTTCTGTTCCACTGCGGACTCAGAAAAGAAATGCAGGAAGGGCACAGTTCGCCATTCCTCTTTCAGCAGTACTCAGTGGACTAGTATACGTACTAGAATACTGAATCTAGCCTTCCCTTCTTTGGATAACTTTATCAGGTGTGGCAATTTTTTCCTTTCAAATTTAAAAGCTGCAACAGGTTGAAAAATGAATGTTCATAGAACAACTGAATGACAGGATATCCATACAGGGAAACTGGTGTGAGATACAGAATTTTCATCCACAACCCCTTATCATCATCTATTTCCAGTTCAGTATAGAAAACTATCGCCTCTTTGTCAGTATAATAATAATAATAATATCCTTTTATAATCTCACAGCCATATGTTTTGCTAAGGCAAAGGCTGTTTGTGTAAATGAAGGCAAATGTCCAAGTGGCATTTTCAATACAGTATACGGTAATAGACTAGTCTTCATCACACAAAAAGTGGCACGGTCTAGATAGACAGGCTAACTGTAATAATGCCTGCAAACATAAACTAGATAAATACAGGTGTGACTAATGGTGATGAAGATGCACTGCTGAAAGTATTTTGAAATTCTATTCCCCAAACCACACCTCTTCGCATGCAACAGGTGGATACATGTAGCTGTACAAAAAATTTCTGCACATCTTTTTTTTACCAGACAGCTGGTAAAGGGATCCCTGAGGACAGGCCAAATTTTGAAAAAGGGCCTAAATTCACAAAATGGAATGCTCTTCCCCAACTTTTTGAAACATCTCACTCAATGTTTTGTCTTTTCAAGATTGCAAAAGCTGATACACATTTTCCTGCCTTTTGGGTGGTCCTTATAAAAGCATTGTTCACGTTTCTTGAACTCCAGCTGAAACAAAATTACTTTCTAGAGTGAGCAGATTGTTAACACAAAAGTAGGAGACAGGCAATTCTTATGATACATAACTGGAGAGTCAATTCTATATAAACCACTAGGTCTTAGATAAGTCTTCATAAATGACTTTCCAGCAGGAACTCCCACATTCGGTAGCCGAAATCAAATGAGCTGAAACACCACCTACGGAATGCAACTTATTTAAGAATAAACCAAACACAACGATAGCAACCACGCAAGCCAAACCCACTCAGTGAGCCATGAGATTCCTAAGGTACCAAACACAATGGATATACAATGCGACAAGTGGCGTGTAACTCTCTGCCGAGACAAACCTACCGAACCCCAGAAATCATGAGCACGCGTTGCACGCCGGGACTTGTAGTCCCACTGTCAAGAGAAGCGGAAAGAAGCGGTCAGCCCCACCTGCTCAACCGAAGTGAGGGTCCGCACTCCATCATCCTGCAACCTCTCCCGACCGGCTTCCATGCCGCCTCCGCGAAGGTGGTGGCTTCCGTCGGTGCCCGGGTGGGTGGAAGCGGCTGCCGCCATGATCCCAGAGAGTCGCTCAATTCGCGCGACTGAGGGTGGCAGCCCGAGAAGCAGCGAGCGAAAGCCCGACTACGGCAGCTCGCGGCGGTCAAGAAAGTTCTGAACGTGCTGCTACGCTCCACTCGGGCTGAAATGAGCCGAGAAGCCTGGGTTGGCAGCGTTGATGGCTCATTACCACCCCCTCGTGGAGCCTCTCTTCACCTGTCTAACGTAGCAAGTTTTATCTTCTCCATTCTAGGTTGGCATCAAAAAGGGAGGTGGGATTTCTAAACACCCCCCCCGGGCGAAACTCTTTTCTCTCTGTCACAGAGCACCCAGTTTGAGGCTGAAGGAAAAGGAAAAATATAGGGAGGCACAGAGTTGGTGTGTGTATAAGGACAGTTCCCTCCCCCTTTCCACAAGATATTCACTTAAGGGGGAGCACACCTTGTGTTAATTATATTTTACAAGCTTTTAAGTATGTTTCTAATTCCATCGTGTTTTTTTGCTGAGGAGATTATGGCTTCTGGAAAACTCTAGGCAGGTTGCTCCGAAAAGCATCAGTCATCCCACAATGGGCAGGTGGTGCGTGGGAAAAGACCGATGTGATTAGTGATGGAGAAATTCTGCTTTGCACTTGCCATGGTCCCAGTCTCATTGCATGCCAGGTCAGGCTGCGGCAATAATTTTAGGGTTTGGGGAAGTTTCCCCTCCCCCTCCCCCCTTGTGTAGGGCAGTCTTGTTTGATGGATTGGAAGGGGAAGTGTAGAGTCATTATGAAGGAAATAAACCACCCTTTGTCTTGTGATGGAAGGGGCTGCAAACATAGGCAAACCAATGACCTTCCATGCCAAGAACAGTGTCCCTCCACCTTGCTGTCACACACTGAGAGGTCCTGTCCATCAGTAGCCTCCTCTTGGCCTACTGTGTCAGAGAGGAAGCTCTTGTTCCTGACAATTCGTGGTGGTGGTGTTGCTGGTAGAGACCCATGAGCCAGGACCGCAGAGCAAAAGCCTGTTCTCCTGAGATGAGTGGGCATAATGGAATTGTGTTGGTTCATACATGAGGGCCACTGAAACAAAAGTAGATACCAACTGCAGTCTCTAATGAAATCATGTCCAGGACACCGGAGTGCTGTAGCTTCTTCCGGAAACACCTACATACTGTAGCTCTCTATGAACGTGCCCTTTGTGTCTATCACAGTCTGAAGGACCATGCTGTAGAAGCATTTCCAGTTGTACTTTGTAGAAGCCTTTGCAGTGGTTCCCAACGTTTTTTGAGTCATGACCTCCCTATCATGTTTGCATAAAACGGTATTTTTAACAAGGTTAAGTCATCCCTTCTCAGAGTGTAGAGGCTTCTTTCTCCCTGAAAGGGTCTAAGTCTCATAAATAGATATACACACTAACTTTAATATCACTCTCCAAAAGCTTAAGGAAGAAATCATTTAACAAGGGATACAATGCATATAAGGTGACCCATGACTCCCCAGAAAACACTTTGCGGAGGGTCATGACCCCCAAATTGGTAAACACTGATCTAGACCACTGGTTCTTAACCTTGGGTTACTTAGGAATTTTGGACTGCAACTCCCAGAAGCCTTCACCACCAGCTCTCCTGACTGGGGTTTCTGGGAGTTGCAGTTCAAAAGCATCCGAGTAACAAAGGTTAAGAACCACTGATCTAGACCACAGGCATTGGGACAGGAGTCAATGTGGAGATGTGGAACAAAGCCTGTGATCCAGCAGCTTGAGGGAACCCCAAGTCCCAGAAACCGCACAAGACTCTTTGCTCACCACCACCAAGATTTGATCAGAAAGCTTACAGTGTGTGAGAGATGCATAATCTCACATAAAATCTTACATATTGTGCATTTGTTTACCTCAAATGTTGAACTACTGTAAAATGAGGGGAGCTCTGGTTGAAGGTAAGTTCGTAAGGCAAGCATTATGCCAATATTCTCTTCAGTGATACAGCAGCATCCTATCTCTAAACTACAGGTGCTCTTTATTCTAGTATCTGACTGAACATTGCCACAGATATCTGAACTATGCCCATAAGGTGATACTTGTCCTGATTCTCTACCTCCTGCACCAACAGACAAAAAGGCTCTGTGCAGATTCCGTGGACAGCTGGTGACATATCAGGATCATTCTCTTGCCAGAATTATGCATCTCACTCCCCACAGGGTGAACAGCCGGCTTCAGTCTCCATTCAGGCATCTCCATTCCCACAGTAGAGTTAGAAAGGCAAATGAGCTCTGTAGGTTCAACTACAACCATCCAGGAATGCAGAGTGCCCAGTCTTCTCACTGGTATTTTGGCTGCATACCACAATGCACTGAAGCTTAGCGGAGTAGATAGCTGATATCTCAGATTGCTCTTCCATAGTTATCTTGTGGTCCTCTTGGCAGGAGAGAAGGGTTAGGTTTGTTATCTGTGTGGGAGAAGAAGGACATGGACACAGAAAAGACTGAAGGTTTTGCTACTTTTCCGTGGATATGCTTCTTTAAATTCTGTTACTTTGGGGCATCCATACCCCATATTGTCCTAATAGCTCTGTTCGCTGTCTGAATATAACCCTTTGATATTTTCACTGCCAAACCATCCATATACTCCAAGCATTAAATCAGATACACACACTTGTACATTTCTTCACTTCCCTGACTTTCTCTGCTGTCCAATGTGTATATGCAAGCATATTTTTGCATAATCTCTTAGATCTGGCAGTGTTATAACTATATGAATGGTTTCTGTTTATGTTGCTTTAGCCTTGGAGCAAAATGCTCATAGTGGTGATGAAGCATAACTGGAAAGATTAGAGGGAAGAGAGGGGAAGTTTCAGCCCCCAAGTAAGGTCTGTCTTTGGGATAACACACATATAACAGTTAGTCTTTAAGGTACCACCATATTTTTCTCTTTTTATTTGTTTTTGTTTTGTTTGTTTGTTTGTTTTTAACCTATAATGCATGCACAGACTAACAATGCTACCCCTTCTACAACACACACACACATGTATACTGATTGTTCATGGATGTAAGCAACAAATTAGAGTGGCTGAACAAATCTAGATGGTTTCTACATTATCTGCTATCAAGTCATTTCTGAATTCTGACAACATGGGATAGTTTTCAGTACAGAAGCACAAGGAGTAGTTTACCATTGCCACACATAACTTTGATGAGTTGCTGTGGCCAAAAAAGGATTGGAACTCACATCTGTGAACATTACAGTACTTTGGCTCCTTCATGGTTGAGCCTAACAATGTATCAAATTGACAAAAAAAATAGATAGGATTTTAACAAGAGTTGCATCTATAAAAGTAAAACAAGTATAAAAGATCATTAGCACAGTTCAGTGAACTAGATTGACAGCCTTGTTGGGCTTCACTTTTCCCTTTTGTTCTTATTAGCATGTTGAAAATATTGATAATAGCAACAAAACTGGTTCCAGCGATGTCGCAGGAGTTGATCAAAAAACAAAACATATTGTTGTTTGAGGAAAGGGGCAATATGGTCTCTCTCTCTCTCTCTCTCTCTCTCTCTCTCTCTCACACACACACACACACACACACACACACACACACACACACACACACACACACAACGCTCTCGCCTTT